GTGGACGGCGTCTCAGCAGGAGGCTGTAATTAGTGTCTTTAAGCTCAGCCTCTGACGGCACTGCCTCCACGTTCATGCCCCATTAGCCTGAAACAAATGTCCGAGCTAACTAATCGGTGACTGCAACTCTCTTCGAGACAAAGGCTGGAAAATGTGAAGCACTTCAGCCCACTTGATTTGCCTTTTTACTCTTTTCTCATTGCAGTTGTTGTGATTACATGTGTTATATAATCACACGGTCTTATCGTTCTGCTTCAGTGTCTACAGAACATTTGACGTTTTGCCTACACTGTAAAAAGTGCTAAATTGTAATTATTATATTGAAAAGCTAATTCTACCTGATTTAATCCATGAAAATTGTTTTGTTGATACAGATGAACATATTTAGGTTGATTCAGCGATATTAAATATTATTTTTGACTGAAATATAACTAGTTTAGATGTTACCATTTTTTCAGTGTAATTAAACCAAATCAACTATGTAAATTTCTGTTGTGATAATTCAGCAGTAAGACGCTTGAGGTCATGTTATATAGCGAATATAGTCACAGCTACAGGGTGTTGGACATTATCCCATCATTCAGCTCTATAAGTGACTATAAGATATAATAAACATTGACATTGTGAATTTCTGTAAAGCTACTTTGAAACAGTGTGTACTGTGAAAAGCTATTCAAATAAAATTGACTTCACTATATATATATATATATATATATATATATGTATAATTTTTAAAATAATGAGTTAACAGCTTTGGAACATTCGATTGACCAATTGCCAAGAACACAGACTGATATGCAGATCCATATTTCATAATTAGTCTTTAATGGTGAGAAACTCTAGTCTGAGTTTTACAGTTGTTTTTGCTGTTGTCTATTTTATGAGGGTCAGTGGGATCCAGTTTAATGTGGACACACACTGTATGTCTCTCTACAGGCTCACATGCACATGTACATAGTGGACACGTTTGAGCCAGAAAGAGACAGAGAGAGAGAGAGAGAGAGAGAGAGAGAGAGGGGGCATGTT